AGTCAACCAATTATTATTTTCCTTCATCTGAAATGCTTTTATTTTTTCTTAATTCCTGATAGGTATTTTTGGTAGATATAGAATTAGAGGTTGACAAATCTTTCAAGCACTTGAAAAATCTGCCACTTCCCTCCAGCTTCCATGGTTTCAGATGACAAAGCTACTGTTATTCAAATTGTTGTTACCCCACAGGGAATGCATTTTTTCTCTTAAAACTGAATATAGCCGGGCGCGGTGGCTCACACCTGTAATCCCAGCACTTTGGGAGGCTGAGGCAGGTGGATCACCTGAGGTCGGGAGTTCAAGACCAGCCTGACCAACATGGAGAAACTCCATCTCCACTAAAAATACGAAATTAGCCTGGGTGGTGGCGCATGCCTGTAATCCCAGCTACTTGGGAGGCTGAGGCAGGAGAATCACTTGAATCCGGGAGGCAGAGGTTGCAGCGAGCCAAGATTGTGCCATTGCACTCCAGCCTGGGCAACAAGAGCGAAACTCAGTCTCAAAACAAAACAAACAAACAAAAAAACTGAATATAATCACAATGGAATTTCTAATAAATTTTGCAAAAGGAGTTTGGCAAGATTATTTTAAAATTTATCTGCAGCCAGGTGTGACAGCTCACGCCAGTAATTCCAGCACTTTGGGAGGCTGAGGCTGGAGGATCACTTGAGCCCAGGAGGTTGAGGTTACAGTGAACCATGATTGCACCACTGCACTCCAGCCTAGGTGATGGTGTGACCGGTCTTAAAATAAATAAATAAATAAAATTTTCAGGAGATTGAGACCATGCTGGCCAACATGGTGAAACCCCGTCTCTACTAAAAATACAAACATTAGCTGGGTGTGGTGGTGGGCGCTTGTACTCCCAGCTACTCAGGAGGCTGAGGCAAGAGAATCGCTTGAATCCAGGAGGCAGAGATTGCAGTGAGCCAAGATCGCGGCACTGCACTCCAGCCTGGCAACAGAATGAGACTCTATCTCAAATAAATAAATAAATAATAAAAAATAAAATTTATCTACAGGGTAAAACACATAAGATAGTCTAGAAAATGAGAAAAGAAAGAGTAAGAGAGGATGTGCCTTACCAGAAAGCTACAGTAATTAAGACCATATAATATTGGCACAGAAATAGGCAATGAGATCCATGTAACAAAACAGAAGATTCAGAAAGAGACCCAAATATAAGGAAAATTAAGAGTGTAGGAAATATTTTAAACATTGGTATATGGATACCCTTTTTAAACAAGAGAAATTCAAAAGCCAGAAAGGAAAAGACTTTTAGATTTGACTACGTAAATACTTACAGCACAGGTTGGGCGCAGTGGCTCACGCCTGTAGTCCCAGCACTTTGGGAGGTCAAGGCCGGCAGATCAGCTTAGGTCAGGAGTTCAAGACCAGCCTGGCCAACATGGTGAAAGCCCGTCTCTACTGTAAATACAAAAAATTAGCTGGGCAGGTGCCTGTAATCTTAGCTACTTGGGAGGCTGAGGCAGGAAAATAGCTGAAACCCAGGAGGAGGGGTTGCAGTAAGCTGAGATTGTGCCATTGCACTCCAGCCTGGGCAACAAGAGTGAAACTCCATCTAAAAAACGAAAAAAAAAATAGCCAGGCGCAGTGGCGTGTGCCGGTATTCTCAGCTATTTGGGAGGCTGAAGCATGCGACTCACTTGAACCCAGGAAGGTGGAGGTTGCAGTGAACTGAGATCGTGCCACTGTACTGCAGCCTGAGTGATGGAATGAGACTCTGTCTAGAAAAATAAAATTAAAAAAAAAAGCTTATAGCACACAACCTTACTATATACAAGGGAAAATATAAGTAACGACTTGTGAGAATATGCTATATTTGCAACATATATACAAAAGGCATAGAATCCCACTATGCAAAGAGCTTCTACAAATTAATTATAAAAACATAGGGTTCCTAATAGAAAAGTGATTCATAGCAAAATAATGGTTCATAGCCTTTGCTATCTTCACAGAAGATAGACACTAGTCAATAATCAGTTTCATATTATCATAAAAAGTAAATTAAAACACGATATCACTTTACTTCACAATACGACAAAAGTTAAAATTTGATAATATGTATCATTCCTTCAGTCAATAAATATTCACTGAGCACCAAGTAGCATCGTAGTCATCATGGGTACAGTGATGAACAAAATGGTGTCTAGATTCATGGTGCTTACAGTCTAGTGATGTAATCACTAACAAAATAATCACACGAACATAAGTACATAATTACAAACATAATTGCAAATTAAGTAAATGCTAAAGAGAGTAAGTCTAAGGCATAGTCATTGGGACCTTACTGATTACAATGGGATCAAAGAGCACTTCTCTAAGCAAGACTTGCTGGGCTGAAATGTAAAGGATGACCTGAAATGAACTAATGAGGTTATGGTGTGAAGGGATAGTCACCTTTTTTTTTCAGACGAAATGAACGTGCTCAAAGATCCTTAGGCACATGACATTTGAGGAAACAAAGTGCAGTTAGAGAGGAGGAAAGTCATGTAAGAAAAGCTTGAAAAGATGGAGTAAGATCCTGCAGCCTGTGGACCACATTAAGGACTTCTGCCTTTACTTAAGAACAATTAAAATCATCAAGTTATGTTAAGCAGAAGGATATGAGCAGAATTGCTTTGTAAAAATCAGGCTGACTTCGGTGTGAAGAAAAGATATGCGGAAACGGATGAAGTGAAATCTTCGGCAAGATTCCAGGTTAGAAAGGATAATTTGGACAATATTAATAAAGTTAAACATGCACACATCATTCTCTATATGTCCCCAAATTAATTTTCTTCTCTTCTGAACTTGTTTCTTTTCCTGGGTTCATCATCTCAGTGAAACAAAATAGCTATGAGATCTGGGTGCGTCATCTGTAGGGTAACTGGAAGCTGAAGCCAGAAGAGTGGACGGCCATGGCGTAAGTCTTTAAAGAAGGAAATTCTCTGAGCATACCACCCTAACAAGAAACTTAGCTCTTCCTTCCCTTCTATTTAATTGGATGATATCCAGTTCATCACCCAGTCCTTTAGATTCTCCCTTTAAATTGTTTCTTAAATAAATCCCCTCAATCCATTCTCTGCACCAATTCAGATTAGTTTCCAGAATATTTAACTATTGCCCCTAGTGGCCTTCTTCCCTTCAGTTCACCATGAACACAGGCAGTGGAATGCAAATATGATTATACACATCCTCCTTAGAATTTTAATGGGCCTTCCCAGCTTACTGAGCGACATCCAAGCTCCTTCACAAGGACTTTTTCTTTCAGTCTCCTGTCTTTTCACCAGGTCAGTGAATTTCCTCTTTTTTTGCCCTCTTCCATTTTGTATAATGGGCATTTTCTTTTTTGTCTCTCTTTTTCATAAACTGTTCCCTTGATCTGGAACAATACTCCTTTGACTCAGTGGGTTGAGTTTTCCCTTACCTCGTATTTCAGCATACAGTTGGTGTTCTTCAAGGACAGGGATGTGACTGGCTTGCTTCCCCAAACCTGTCCTACATGCCCAGGACAGTGCCCCACACAACGCTGGGAGTAAAGGCGCTCCCAGGTCACTGGGCATCCAGCCCCTGTAGATGCAATCCAGTGCCTCTTTCCAGAAGGCTTCTGGGGGAGGGCTCAAGCTGGAGCACATGAAAAACCAGGGCCGCTCCAGCGTCTGCCTTCCTTCTCAGGTAACATGAGACTGCTCAAGGGTGGGTGGGTGGGTGGGGTTCCCAAAGGGAGAAGCCGTGGCTGTGCCAGTACCAGGTAGAGTTGGGGTCGTCCATAAGGCCACGAGGGACTCGGGGTCACATCCTCTGAGACCACTGTTTCAAGGTGGCCAGGAAGCGTTGCAACGATTCTGGTTATTACAGTTATACGAAGCCAAAGTGTCAGAGGTGTTTGAACCAGAGCAACTCCATCTTGTGTTTTTATTATCATTATTTGCTGTTGTTGTTGTTGTTGTTTTTTGAACAGTCTCGCTCTGTCGCCCAGGCTGGAGTGCAATGGCACCATCTCAGCTCACTGCAACCTTCACCTCCCAGGTTCAAGCAATTCTCCTGTCTCAGCCTCCTGAGTAGCTGGGATTACAGGTGCGCACCACCATGCCCTGCTAATTTTTCTATTTTTAGTGATGGGGTTTCATCATGTTGGTCAGGCTGGTCTCAAACTCCTGACCTCATGATCCACCAGCCACAGCCTCCCAAAGTGGTGGGATTACAGGCGTGAGCCACCATGCTCGGCCTTGTTTTTTTGAGACACAGTTTCACTATGTTGCCCAGGCTGGAGTGCAATGCCAAGATCTTGGCTCACAGCAATCTCCGCTTCCCGGGTTCAAGTGATTCTCCTGCCTCAGCCTCCGGAGTAGCTGGGATTACAGGCGCCCGCTACCACACCCGGCTAATTTTTGTGTTTTTAGTAGAGATGAGGTTTCACCATGTTGGCCAGGCTGATCTCAAACTCCTGACCTTGGGTAATCTGCCCGCCTCGGCCTCCCAAAGTGCTGGGATTACAGGCATGAGCCACTGCTCCCAGCAACTCCATCTTAAACAAGAGCTGGGTAAAATAAGGCTGAGGCATACTGGGCTGCGTTCCAAGACCGTTAGGCATTCTAAGTCACAGTATGAGACAGGAGGTCAGCATGAGATACAGGTCATAAAGACCTTGCTGATAAAAGTTTACAGTAAGGAAGCCGGCTAAAACCCACCAAAACCAAGATGGCAATGAGAGTGACTTCTGGCTGTCCTCACTGCTACAACTTCCACTGTCAGAGGTGGTTGAACTAGGGCAACTCTATCTTGAGTAGGGGTAGATAGAGTTGGGTAAAATAAGGCTGAGACCTGCTGGCCTGCATTCTCTGGAGGTTAAGGCATTCTTAGGCACAGGATGAGATATGAGGTTGGCACAAAATACGTGTCATAAAGACCTTGCTGATAAAACAGGTTGCAGTAAACAAGCCGACTAAACCCACCAAAACCAAGATGTGTGATGAGAGCGACCTCTGATTGTCCTCACTGCCCACTAGTGGCCATGGCAACATCAGGAAGTTACCCTATATGGTCTAGAAAGAGGAGGCATGAATAATCCACCCCTTGTTTAGCATATAATCAAGAAATAACCACAAAAATGCGCAACCAGCACCCTCGGGGCTGCCCTGCCTATGGATTAGCCATTCTTTATTCCTTTACTTTCCTAATAAACTTGCTTTCACTTTATGGATTCGCCTCGAATTCTTTCTTGTGCGAGATCCAAGAACCCTCTCTTAGAGTCTGAGATCCAGACCCCTTTCCAGTAACATAAGGTCTTGGACTGAAGTACTGACTCCACAGTCTTTAAGTATCCTAGTTATTTAATAGTTGCGGTCTCGGGCTCTGGTTGGGCCGCGGTGGGTTCTGGGAAGTGTAGTTCGCCTGAGTCTCCAGTTCCTTGTCTCTGGGCGGTGTGTGCACGCCAGCGAGGCACTGTGGGAGTCGTAGTACGGGAGGAAAACCCTACACCCTCTCTCGCGGGCCGCAGGAGTTTGGGGGCATCTAGTCGCTAAAGCCCTACATAGTCTTCCGGCTTTGGGCGTGGCCGCGATGCACTCTGGGAGTCGTAGTAGGGGAAGACAGTCCTCCGCTCTTTTGCGCAGGGTCGCAGGAGGTTCTGGGAAGTGTAGTTGCCTGAAGCTCGTGTTCTTTGTCTTTCGGTGATGTGCGCGTGGCCTCAAGGCACCCTGGGAGTTGTAGTGGGGCGGGGAAAGTCATTTGCTCTCTCAAGCGGGGTCGCGGTTGTTTCTGGGAAGTGTGGTTGCCTGAGTCCCGCGTTCTTCGTTTCTCGGCTGGTTGTGCGTGTGGCCGAGAGGCACGCGGGGAGTTATAGGAACCGAAAGCCCTGTGTAGTCTTCCGCGGGGGGCCGCGGTTGTTTCTGGGAAGTGTGGTTGCCTAGGTCCCGAGTTCTTTGTTTCTAGGCTCTGGGATGGGAGGATAGCCCTATGCGCTGGAGCGCGGGGCCGCGGTGCCTTCTGGGAGTTGTAGTTGTCCCAGGCCCTCGTTCTTTGTTTCCTCGCGCGGGAGCGCGGCGCTCTGGGAGATCCAGTAGGAACGAAAACCGTATGCCCTTGCGCGCAGGGCCGCATTGGTTTCTGGGAATTGTAGTTTCTTGAGGCAGGCGGCCTGGTGGGGTGACGTCCGCGAGGCTTCTGAAGACGCATTCCTGCGACGCCCGCGGTGGGGCCCTCGGGGCGGCTCCGAGCGTCTGGCCTGTGTAGGCAAGGAAAGGAGCCCCCCGGTCTGCGCCGGATGGCCCCGGGCGGTGACTCGGTCCGGAGCCCCGGAGCGCTACACCCACCTGGCCGGAAGCACAACGGAAACGCGCCGTCCTGTGGCCACTGTTAGGTGGCCGGGTTCTGGGGAGGCGCGCCGTGGCAGGAGAAAGCCGGCGCCGGTGGTCCAAGCGCCCTCTCTCGGGGCCCCGCTCTGTACGTGGGAGGCGCGGAGCGGGGGCCACGGGAATCCCCAGTGCGGGATCTAGTGACTTGGGCGCGGCCTGGCTGGCCCGTTCGCTCGGGGCTCCTTCTCTCTCTGCCAGGTCTGCCATTTTACACTTTTCTGATCTCCTCGGTCCCTTCTGTGAGCTATGTCTCAGGTAAGCTGATGATATATATTGATATATTTTCTTTGAAAGACAGAGACAGGGTCTCCTCCTGTCGCCCAGGCTGGAGTGCAGTGGGGCGATCATAGCATCCTGTAACCTCAAACTCTTGGCCTCAAGTGAGCCAACCCATTGAGCCTGTCTGCTCTTTTTTTGTGAAGTGCAGCCGTATTTTTCAGGACTTGGGACGTGGCTTTCTCTTACAACCACCTGCCTGGCGGAACCCCAGGACCCTGTCCCCTGTTCCTCCTTTTCAGGTGCTTACACTTAAGTATACATGAAGAGAGTGACAGGAAGCTCTCCAGATGTGGGCGGGATTTCTGACCTGGCTGGTATGTTTTAGGGTGGGAGGGTGGGGTGCCAGCTGTTACATTGCCTCTTCTTCCCACAGTATTAGAACGAGGAGTGCTTTGCGTTACTCCAGCGCCCCTTCATTCATTGATTGAATATGTTCTTACTGAACCTCTACTTTCAGTGGTTCCCACAGTGTGATCCTTGGACCAGCAGTATCAGCATCATCTGAGAACTTGTTAGAAATGAATATTCTTGAGTCCTACCCCAGACCTTCTGAATCAGAAACTGGGAATTTGGCCCAGCAATCTAACAGTCCTTCCCAGTGATTCTAACGCTCAACTCATTCTATGTCTTGAGGATGCAGAAGTGACCAAAACAAAATCTCTGAACCCATAGAGCTCATTTTTCTGACATGACATAAGGAACACATTTTTATTTTGATTGGGGCTAAGAGTTTGGCTGCTAATTGTGCTTCACAGCAGTGGGGATAACAGGGTCAACTATTCAAAATGAGTCCCTCATTTTCAGTTCCACTTCTTTGTCCTACTTTTTGTCATACTTCTCTCCAAATTCAGAGGCTTTCTGAGTTTTGCTGGGGAATCCAGTTTCCACCTCTGCTGCAGATCTTGCTGTGTAGGAAACAGCTGCTTTATTAGTCAACAGTCTTTAATCACTTTTTTATTAAACTTCAAAACTGTAAAATATAACTGCCATCCATCGGGGGCTGCTACTAGTTTGAGACCTTTTAAATTCCCATTCATGCCTTATAGATCTATGTGGATCACTCAAGTGGTGCAAAACCAGGCTGCAAAGTAAGGGCTTCTATATTTTTCTTCCTAACTCCGAGGGAAAGTGCTTTAGGTTCTGTCCTGGGAGGTGTTATATTCTCTTCTTGCAGAATCAAGATTCTTTACTGCTTATCCTCCTTGTTCTGTGACATTGCCAAAATTACCACTAAGTTTCACAGGTATTTCTTTAGGATTAGGGATGACTGGAACAAACTTGAGACTGTATGCCCCATTTGAAGGGTGCTGCTATTATCTGCTATAGCCAATTATTACCCTGAAGAAATTCTGGCTGAATTATATTAAAATAGGCTGGTATTAAGGAAAATATACATTGTTTATTAACATAAAGGAATACTGTAAAATCTTAAGAATTTTTACAACCAATGCCAAAAATCCATATTGTGCATATGTATAATCCTTTATTTTGAACAAAACTGTAAATTGTCTCAGGTCAGATAATTTATGTTTTTTCTCCTTTTCTCCAGTTATGCAACAAAACACAAAAGCTAGGCTCCTCATTATATAATTACTCAGAATTCTGAAAACTCCCATTGTTGCTACTTCGACACATTGCCTAACCTCCACAGTGAGACTCATTTTATACTTCGATAAGGGAGTTTGGGAGCATGGGTACTGGTCATGCAGATATCTGTATGTCATTTCAGGGGTCAGTGACATTCAGAGATGTGGCCATAGACTTCTCCCAGGAGGAGTGGAAATGGCTTCAGCCTGCTCAGAGAGATCTGTACCGATGTGTAATGTTGGAGAACTATGGCCATCTGGTCTCACTGGGTAATTATTCCTCTTCATCTCCCTCAAGTCAAAATCTGACCTTTAGGGTGGCTGTTATAATTATCTGGCTGAATATTCCCAAGATAGGTATGGGGTTTCTTAAAATTAGTAAGATGGGGACGTAAGTGTACCTCATTTTTAGACATTTAAAAAACTTCCATCTGACATTTCTTTTGTGGCCCTTGTTAGGATTCAACGACTGATTTTGAACTTATTTCATTTTCTGCAAGCAGGTCTTTCCATTTCTAAGCCAGATGTGGTTTCCTTATTGGAGCAAGGAAAGGAACCCTGGTTGGGGAAAAGGAATGTGAACAGAGATCTGTTTTCAGGTGAGTGAGTTGGAAGCTGATGGGAAAATTTTTTAAAACCACTCAATTAGTCAATGAGAAAGGAATACTTTTTAATATGTTGATTGGAAAAATTTCCCTTAAAGATACCAGAGATAGGCTGGGTGTGGTGGCTCACACCTGAAATCCCAGCACTTTGGGAGGCCAGGGCAGGTGGATCACAAGGTCAGGAGATCGAGACCATCCTGGCTAACACGGTGAAACGCTGTCTCTACTAAAAAATACAAAAAATTAGCCGGGTGTGGTGGCGGGCGCCTGTAGTCCCACCTACTTGGGAGGCTGAGGCAGGAGAATAGTGTGAACCTGGGAGACGGAGCTTGCGGTGAGCCGAGATTGCACCACTGACTCCAGCCTGGGCGACAGAGCGAGACTCTGTCTCAAAAAAAAAAAAATACCAGAGATATAAAGACTGAAGTTTCACTTACAACTCCATAAAGGACTACTTCATACCCAGTTCTCTTTGTTTTTTCTATATTACGTAACAGCTAACATACTCAACCAGTTCTCACTTTATACTTCCTCTACTTTCTCACAGATATCTTTTTTGTTGTCATTGTTCATTCTGTCTGGTCTGTGAATTTCATTTCTTTTTGTTTTTTCCTCCCTTTCTTTCTTCAAATGGACATATATTTCTATTGCCTAAATCCAACCTGAGAAAGAAAGAAAAATTAAAAAGTACATATATTGCTGTTCTGTTTAATCACCTGGAAAGGATTAGCTCATTACTCTTTGACTAACTGATATTTATTCCTTCACATACACTCTTAATATTTACAGGAATTTTAATCTTGTCAATCTTTCTCAAGACTCTCTATTAAATGCTACAGAGACTAGAGGGTGTACAAAAGTATAATAACTATCAAGGAATTCATGGCCTAGTGATGTGTCTAAATAACTTGCATTAGATATCCTCAAATTAGCAGTTCAGCAGCGAAAAAAGGAATTTCCAGTTGGCGTTTTAGGCTTGGATAATTTGGATACAGATTTTAGTAGAGAAACAGACAGAAAAGGGTCATTTTTGGAGAAAAGGTGATGAATTCTGTAAGTTCTGAATTTTGTAAGTTCTGTAAGTTCTATAGTTGATTCTACAGCAGATCTTTTTTTTTTTTTTTTTTTTTGAGACGGAGTCTCGCTCTGTTGCCCGGGCTGGAGTGCAGTGGCCCGATCTCAGCTCACTGCAAGCTCCGCCTCCCGGGTTCACGCCATTCTCCTGCCTCAGCCTCCCGAG